ATAATACTCATTTCTTCTTAAAAATAATCGAGAACCACATGGATTTCACGTAACATTTAATCCAACCAATCCTAGCATGATACATTTTAGACATCAATATATCACATAATAAACGAAAAGGTATCAGGCTGTCGTGTACCGTTCACGGGAAAAATCACACGGGAGGAGTCGAGGGACGACTAGAACAAGGCTGCCGGTGCACGTAGGGTCTGTCGGAAAGCGACTCTCGGTGATGAACGGGCTGCTGCTCGAACCTCAGGGCATGAGCTGCTCATGAGCAGAGGGTGATGTTCGAGGGCTCACGAGCAAAACGGACTCGCGATGAGGCTGGGCTCACCGAGACCTGTGTGCGGGACCAAGCTCGCGACAGACAACGATCGTGGCTGACCTCATTGCGACGACAACAAGCAGCAGCGAACCCGCGAGAATGGTGTGCAGACGTCCTTCGTAGCGACAGGTGGCAGTGAACGGGACCTGAACGACGGACATAGGTGCTGCGACGGGGGTTCTCGCCGGGAATCGTCGGGGGAGGTGCTCTGCTCGCGGTTGCAGATATCACGAACGGCTGACTCAGCGGGGGGGGAGGGGGGGTGTTCGTCGCTGGTGCTCACGGTGGCTTTGAACGGCGGCTAAAGGTGGTGTGCGGTAGCGAAACAGGCTCGCCGGCTGTAAGATCGTGGCTTTAAACGTGTTGTGATCTGGTTGCTATTTGCCAGAAACTCATGACTGGGAGACTTGCCGGAGATGGAAGCTAAAGGGTGATGGTGAGAGCGAGAAATTTCTCTTGACTGGTACGACCGAGCGAAAGAGATTGATGGATGTGTTACGAGATGGTGGCAGATTCTTCTTTCTCTGCTGCGTCGGGCGAGAGAGGGTAGAGGAGAGAGATGAGGGTCGCGTGCAGAAAGTAAAAAAAAAAAAGCTGCGGGAATTTGCAAGAGAAGAGAGAGGAGATTGAGTTAGGGTAAAAATATCTTGTCCTCCAAGCTAAAAGAAAAGCGGGTCGCGGGCGGTTCGAGTCGTACGGACCGGTTTCGCCTACCGGTTTCTCGGGCTCGATTTATATACTCCGATATCATACAACATTTGGAAAAATAACATGCGACGACCCAAAAATTAAATAAAATACGACATCCGAAAAAATTTAATAATTAATTCGGCAATATATATTTATTATGCACACAATAATAAATATATTACTAAGCAAATATTTCACTTTGGTAATCAAATAAAATAATAATAATGCCAATATAATAATATTAAAAAATAAATCCAATAATCAAACGGGGGTTAAATCCAAACTACGCGATTAAACCGAAATTGCCGAACAACGAACGTTTTAAAATAAAACGATCGAGTACTCTAACTTTTTATTTAAGCCGACATCGCGACTAATAAAATAAATATTGTAACACCCCGCCTTGACATGAAAATCAGAGCGCGCTTTTCGCAAAATTTTCTAAATAAAATATTTATTTTGCGAAATACTGATTCGGAGTGTTACCGTAAAGATCTGACTTAATCTGAAAAACCGTTATTTTAGTTTTAAAGAAAACCAACGGTTTAACGTAATATATTAACCGACTGAAAGTCGGAATAAAAGCTGGTTTGATAAACTGAAATCGTCAGCGGAAAATATAGTGTAGCCAAAACATGTTTAAACATATATACAAAATTCCTGAACCGCTCGCCAACTCACTCCTCGGCTCCGACCCTGTTACCTGAAAAACATGAATAATGTGGGGGCGTGAGCACTAAATCCACTGTGCTCCGCAGAAACTCATACTAAAGTAAACAGTGAAAAT